CAGAAGCTCTGAAGCCCAACAGAAACAGAAGGACCCTTGGGACTTGCTGGCCAGCCAATTGAGTCAAATTGGTTTACTCCAGGTTTGATGAGAATCTGTCTCAAAATATAAGATGGAGAATGATTGAGGAAGACACATTATGTTAACATCTGGCTTGTACATGCATGCACATAACACATGAACATGTACATACACACACAGATTTTAAAATGTGATACAGCAATTACACTTCTAGGAATCTATCCAATAAAAGCGCACTCATGCACGTGCGCACACACACCGAATTAAATAAGGATATTTATTGTTGTGCTGTTAATGGTAGTAAAACAATGGACTATAACCAAATAAATAAACAGTTAAATTGTGGTGTGCTTACCACATTCTGCTGTAGAAGAAGAGATAGAACTATTTGTATTGATTTGAAGATAATTCAAAGCAAGTTGTGAAATAAATTTTGTGGAACAAGTCTGTGTTTTGGGTTTTTTTTTTTGTTTTTGTTTTTTTTTTATTATAAAGAACCTACCACACACACACACCCAACACACATAAATACATGGAAAATAATTTGGGAAGATATGTAGAAACCAGTCATTGTAGAACGTAGTAAGAATTTGCTTTGCCAGCCTTAGTCAGTACAAGAAGTTCAGCACTAGAAAGCTCTTGCAGTTGTTTGGTTATCAGCTCTCTTAAAGAGAACTTACATGAAACTGTATGTATCCATGCGTTGAATGCCAAGGGTTATAGACGAGTAACTTTCCCAGTTGCTCTTCATTTTATTTTTGGGGAGAGGAACTTGAATCTGGAGCTTGGATTCAGCTAGGCTGACTGAGCATCAAGCCCTAAGGGTCCTCCTGCCTCCACCTCCCCAAAGCTGAGATGGCAGGTATGCCCACACCAGGCTTTTAACATGGTTTCTGGGGAATTATACTCAGGTTCTCATGCTGGTGAAACAAGCGTTTTACTGACTGAGCGTTGTCTCCTACCTACAAACTTTTACCCTAAAGCATGTGAAGCTAGTTTGGTTCAATTCTGGTCTCACAGAGATTTCCATTTTTATTATTTTCTTAGCATGATTGAAGGTTCTTTAATTGCAAGAAACAGGAATCTAGTTACGATAGTTTTTAGGGGTGGGAGCTGGAGAGATGGCTCAGTAGTTAAAAGCACTGGTTGTTCTTATAGAAGACCTGAGCTCGATTCCCAGCACCCACTTGGCAGCTCACAACCATCTGTAACTTTAGCGACAGGGGATCTGATAATCCTTTTGGGGCTTCTCATGCAGCATGCATGCAAGTGGTGCACAGACACATGCAGACAGAGCATCCATGCACAGACATGCAGACAGAGCATCCATGCACAGACAGGTGCAGACAGAGCATCCATGCACAGACAGGTGCAGACAGAGCATCCATGCACAGACACGTGCAGACAGAGCATCCATGTACAGACAGGTGCAGACAGAGCATCCATGCACAGACACGTGCAGACAGAGCATCCATGCACAGACAGGTGCAGACAGAGCATCCATACATTTAAGATGGAGGGGCTGAGAAGCTGAAGGGTTATTTCAGAAAAGTTGGGAGATCTAGTTTTTTGAGGAGGGGGTGTTTTGTTTTGGGTGGTTTTTGTTTGGTTGGTTTTTTTAGATGGTTTCTCAGTGTAGCTTTGCCTGCCCTGGAACTCGCTCTGTACACCAGGCTGGCCTCAAATTCACATAGATCCGCCTGCCTCTACCTCCCGAGTGCTGGGATTAAAGGTGTGCACCACCACTGCCCAGCAGGAGTTGGAGATCTGAAAGGATGAGTCTCATGCCTCTGGGGACAAATCAGGGCTAGGAATTTTCTCACATCCTGCCCTCACAAGGCACACCTCATGTCTTGCACCCTCTCCAGTCTGCTCAGTCTGTGCCAGCTTTTCCTGCAGCTCCATGCAGTAGGGTTTGACCTTTCCCATTTCCCCTTCCAAAGAACTGAGACTAAGTAGGATTAAGGTCCCAGATTCCCAGAAGTGGGTTCGGTTGATGCGGCAGAGCTAGTCCAGTGTGCTCTCAACCGTGGCTGGACTTGGACCACTGGGTGCTCTAGCAGATAGATGCTTGTGTGTTTCATTACCACAGATTCTGATCCCACTCCTCTGGATGTTGCCTAGGCAACTGGGGTGTTTTTAAAGCTCTCAGTAGATTGCCAACAGCTGATCTAAGAAAAGATGTCATACTGCGGTCATGGGTGCTTACAAAATGGAGTCTGGTGGATAGATTAATCTCCCAATGAGGTCACTGTTTGGGGCCTCTATCTTTCTGGTTGTCTGTGTCTGCACTATCCTAGTATAAACTGGAACTTTTCTTTACAATTTAGGGCTGAAGATATAGCTCAATGGCAGAACACTTTTTATTGGGATTTGGGAGTACAATGACAACAGAATCCAAACATGGGAAATATTAGAAATAGGTACAAGAAAGCCAAGTTAGGAAACAGTAGCAGGCTGTACAAGAAGAAAAGTACAAGCCCAGTCTTTAAGATGTTTACTAAGGGAAACTACACAAAACAGTAATGTCAGCGTCTCATGAGGCACTATGGGATTAGCTGTCAAATTTGTGGTATTGGTAAGTATTGAAAGATACAGGACAAGATGAACTGCCAGTGTTTTGTATAGGAAGTAAGATAAAATGTTGAATTGGGAAGGCAGTTTATACACAATTATTAAGGTAGGTAGCATGAACATGTCAACTCCACAGGTTGGAAAACTAGATTAACAGTAGTACATGTTATGGCCAAGGGCCTGCAGCTAATGAATGGTAGAGTCCTAGAAGCCTGACACTCTGATATATATTAGCTATGGAAAGGGTGTAGCATAATTTACAAATATGAAAAGATGTGTACGGCCGGGCGTTGGTGGCACACGCCTTTAATCCCAGCACTCGGGAGGCAGAGGCAGGCGGATCTCTGTGAATTTGAGGCCAGCCTGGTCTACAGAGCGAGCTCCAAGACAGCCTCCAAAACAATACAGAGAAACCCCGTCTGAAAAACAAAAACAAAAAAGTGTAAGGAAAGGAAGAAGATGGGAAAAGGTGATCAGGTGAAGAAAATGGAAGATAAGGTAGGTTAGCATTGGGTGACAGAGGGCCTGGAATGTTGAGTCTGGAGGACCTTAAGTGGAAAATGATGACAGAATCTGGTATTTGAGGTTTGGGAAAGTGTCTCATGATTTGAAAGGCAATTTGGGGGAGTATAGCCCCCTTTTTTCCAGTTTCACTTTTTTTTTAAAGCAAATTATTTATTATGTATACAGTCTTCTGTCTGCACGCCAGAAGAGGGCACCAGATCTCATTACAGATGGTTGTGAGCCATCATGTTGTTGCTGGGAATTGAACTCAGGACCGCTTAACCGCTGAACCATCTTCCAGCTTGCCAGTTTTACTTTAAGGTGTTATTTGCCTCTCCTTGTTTTTCTACTTAAACCTGGAAGGAAGATTGCTTAGATGTAAGGACACCTCCTCACCTATCCAGACTGAATTTGAGGGGTGGAGAGTTGCTTTAGAGTGTTTCAGAGCACAGGGTTCTGTCTCCTTTTGCATCCATTCTCCGTATCTTCCTGCACTTAGAGGACTAATTCCAAAAAAATCTGTTGATGACTAAATGTTAGGTACACAGAGAAAAATCCTTACAATGTACAAAAACCACTGATAGTTAATGTACCAAAGTTAGAGATCTAAGATTAATATACAAAATAAAATATTTCTATATAATAGCAGTGAACAGTTGAAAATGGAATTTTAAAACCATGCTAGGTAGTATAGAGGAAAATACAGTTAAAACCCTGAAAAATATATTTGCACTACCATACAATTACATAGAAATAATTAAAGAGTTGAAAATGTGTACATGCAAAACTTTAAAAGGATTACTGAACAAGCTAAAGGTGGCCTAAATGAATAAACTCAAGTTGGCAGTTCTTCCCAAACTGACTCACAGATTTAAGACAGTCAGAAGCTCATCAGGCTTTCTGTACTTTTTAAAGAGCTCTTTAAAATTCATGCAGAAAGGTGGGCCAGGCTGTGGTGGTGCACGCCTTTGATCCCAGCACTCAGGAGACAGAGACAGGTGAATCTCTGAGTTTGAGGCCAGCCTAGTCTGTAGAGCAAGTTCCAGGACAGCCTCCAAAACAATACAGAGAAACCCTGTTTTGAGAACCAAAGAGGACCCGTGAAGATTCATACAGAAAGGCACTAGCATAGAAGAGCAGGAATTGTATCAAAAGTATACAGAGAACTAAAACTCTATGAGAAAACAACTTGACCCAATGAAAAGTAGAGCAAACCCTTGGAAGGATGAGACGAGCCCTTTCTGCATAGTGAGCTTGGAGGTAGCACAGACTACATGAAGCTTTCTCAAAAAACCTTTTTAAGTACAGTGAAAATACTTTTTACAACACTATTATGCCAAATATGTGTCATTAATTTATTTTAAAAAAACAGAATGGAGCTGGGCATGATGGCGCACACCTTTAATTCAAGCACTTGGGAGGCAAAGGTAGGAAAATTTCTGTGAACTCGAAACCAACCTGGTCTATGTATGAAGACCTTGACTTGAAGAAGCCAAAGGGGGATCTGGGAATGTAGCTCAGTTGGTAAGAGTACTGGCCTAGCGTATGTGAGGCCCTGGTTCAGTCCCCAGCTCTCATTAAACAGGTTATGATTGTACATTCCTGTGATCCCAGCACTTGGGAAGAGAGGCAGGAAGATCAGATTGTCGGGGGTCAGTTCAGGACTTGGAAGGAAGAACACCTGTATTCAGATCTTCTCTGTCCTTTTCTAGCTTTGTAGCGTTGGCCGTACTGAACCCTGTGCTGCTTGTGTCATCAGTCTAGGGTCCTCTCACCATAATAACGTGACTGCCTTCAGTGTAGTACAGTGCTAAGACTTATGCCACTGACCAGGAATCTAATGTGTTTGAGCTGCTGAAGAAAAACAAATGCTCACATGGTTCGATTTTGGTGTGCTGCAGGTTCAGCTTGTTGGTTTAGATGAAGAGAGTTCAGAGTTTATTTGCCGAAACACCTTTGACCACCCATACCCCACCACAAAGCTCATGTGGATTCCTGACACAAAAGGCGTCTATCCAGACCTTCTGGCGACGAGTGGTGACTATCTCCGTGTGTGGAGGGTAAGCAGGTGCTTTAGTATCAGACAGCTGCGGTGTGGGGGCCTGAAGCTGCAGACAGGTAGTGTCATTGCAGCATGGGGAAAAAAAGGAAGTGCATCTGGACTGATCTTGGCTTAGCTCAGTGGGTTTTCTAGGAAACCTAGCCCAGGTGCCGTAGACTTTTGCTGCTGTCCTCAGTCAACCTGGTGTGATGGGGACAGTCTTCTGTGAGGCAGAGAACACTGGGACCTCTTACTCCATTGGTAGTCAAGATAAATCCCAGGCTGTTGGATCTTCCTTTTCCAGCAGAGCTCAGCACAGGGTCATCCCCTGTGCTTGGGAGTCTAGAGCCCTGCAGACAGACTGCTAAGAACTCCAGACAAAAGCATGGGTGCAAACCCAGAGAGAAAGCTAGGAAAAGGGCAAGTTTTGAAGTCCCAATTCAGGAGTTCCTTTGGGTTTTTTATCCTTTAACATAAAAATATTTTTCTCCTTGTCTTAGATTACTGAGCAGGACTTTAAGGGGGTGTGCAAGCATGTGTGTAGATAGGCTAATGTCTCAAATTGTTGTCCCTTCAGGTTGGTGAAACAGAGACCAGACTGGAGTGCTTGCTGAACAATAACAAGAACTCAGACTTCTGTGCTCCCCTGACCTCCTTTGACTGGAACGAGGTGGATCCTTATCTTTTAGGTGAGAACTTTGAATCCCAATTTGAAGAAAACGAAGATTCATCTCCTCAGGTTCTGCCTGGGTCTGTTTTTATCCAGGGGTAGAGGTGGGCATTGAGGCACATACCTTGTCAAGAGTGAAACAGGCTAAATATGGCAAGTAGTTATTGATTTCTTATAGGGAGCTCAGCTTTCCCTGTGTGCATACACCTCTCTCCAGCTAAAGTCTGAGGTCTTGCAGGTGTGATGCTACACACCTATGATACCAGCACTTGGAAAGCGCAAGCTGGAGGATCGTGAGTTCAGTGTCGGCCTTGACTATATCAGGGTATTCTGTTTCAAGAAGTTCTCCTCCATCCCACAAGAAACAAGTCAGTGCTCAGGAAGTGCTGTGGTCTGCGTGGAAACTCACCTCATCAACTCTGACTTACTCCGGTCTGCAGGTACCTCAAGCATTGACACAACCTGCACCATCTGGGGACTAGAGACCGGGCAGGTGCTGGGTCGAGTGAATCTCGTGTCTGGCCATGTGAAGACGCAGCTAATTGCCCATGACAAAGAGGTAATGAGGCTTTTCCTGGCCTCCTTTTTTGCAGGTGCTTTCTGTAGCTGCAGGTGAGAGGCCGTCCTGTTCTCTCACTGTTCTGCAGGTTATGTAGATCACAGTGTTGGCATGTGCCTTGTCTAAGTCGAAAGTTAATGAGTAAAACAGAAAACAATACTTATAATTGAATGCACCTTTTAAAATGTTTTGTTTATGACTATTATGAGAGAGTTTTTACACATGTACAGACATGTGTGTACCGTGGTGCATGTGTGAAGGTCAGAGAAAAACTTATGGAGTCAGTTGTCCCCTTCTGCTGTGGGTTCCGAGGACTGAGCTCAGGTTGTCAGATTTGCAGAGCAAATGCTTTTAATCTGTGGCTGAGCTACCTCACTGACCCAAATGCATCATTAAACAACACTAACCTACGATCTGTCATTTTCCTTTCATGCTAGAGGTTCCTGGGGGTACTTTTTTTAATTGATTATTTGGGAATCTAAAATCATGCACCTTGATCAAACTCACCTCCTAGTCTTCCCATGTTTACCTCCTTCTACTGACCCCCCTAAACAATTCAAAGAACAAGTCTGTTTTGTGTCACTGGAACGTGGTTAAATCCCTACTAGCCAGCCCCCCAAGGGAGGATGAGTCTTTTTCTGCCTGCATCCGCCACCAAAAGCCATCAGCTGAGGAGAGAGAGTCATGTGGTGGCCAGAGCCGGTGAGGCTAGAAAGAGAGCCATGTGGTGGCCAGAGCCGGTGAGGCTAGTTCTCCCCTGGACACATCACCACCCAAACCACAGCAGTGCTGGGACTGGTGGGGGCGGGACCAGAGGTTGCTGTTTTCTTAATGAAGTCTGTTATAGACATCCTAGAAGCTGATATGGATGGGTAAAGAATAATTTTAGAGTAACGCTTCTGTCTAAACATGATGGCTTCTTGGAGATAGGAGGAATTTCATGACAGACAATCCTAATTAACTGTTTTTCTCTAAAACCATTCTGTAAACTCTGGTATGTTTACTTAATCTTTTTATTTTCAGTCCTGTTTGGAGGCAAGTATGCCTTACTGATGTTGTTTCTTCTGTGTTTACTGGAAGCTGCTGGGGGGATCCTCTGGTGGTTTGGAGGAAATAGGCATAACTCTGCTCCCACAGTCCGTGTCCTCCTCTTGTTTCATTTTGTGCCCCTTTACCTGTACAGCAAGGGGCACTGGTATTTGTATAAGAAAAAAGATGCTTTAAGGTCATCAGCAGAGTGGTGCCAGGTTACCATTCTGAGTGGTTGATCTTTGGTGTTACGTTCCTGAGAGTAGGGTCTGTAGATAAAGGAACTTGGCTCTGCTAGAGCCAACCCAAAAGTGGGAACTGCTCCAAGTGTCTGAGAATGTAGCTCGGTGATTGAGTGCTTCCTAGTGCATCCATGAGGCAGGTTCAGCCCCTGTTTTGGGGGCAGGGGGGGTTTTGCAAGAATAAACCTAAGTGATTTAAACCAAGAGAATGCTTATATAGCGAAGGAACTGAGATGGTAGTAGTCTGGGTTTACCTGCAGAGATGCTTCTGAACAGAGAGGAAAGATAAGTACTCAGCTGCTTCTTGTGTCAGTTTCCCACTTCGGATTCCTTTGTCTGAACCATCCAGAAGCAGCCAGTAAACTTGGGACTCAGCCAAACCTAGCCTGTAGGAAACAGGTCTCACTCAATACAGAGAAGAGCAGGAGGGCCTGGAATGGATCAGAACTAATGACAAACTAGAAAGAAGGAACTTGCAATGGCAGCTATGCCGGGGGGAGGGGGGGTTCCTGGCAGGGTTTAATCCATTGGGAGTGGCCACCTTCCCTCTTTCCTGATGAGCTGTACAGGTGGGGCATGGACGAAGGAGCAGATACATAACCTGAGAGAGCTTTGTGCTCTGAGCCACACTGGTGGGGATTATCCAGAACCAACAGGAAAACATGCCAAACACAAAGCACACTCTTTAGGATCTTGGCTAATAATGACTGCTGACATCGTGATGGAGGAATAAATAGAATTTCTCACTAAAAAAAATATTGGGGCTGGGGCTGGAAAGATGGCTTAGTGGTTAAGAGCACCCGCCACTCTTCTGGAGAATCCAGATTCAATTCCAGCACCCACATGGCAGCTCATAACCATCTGTATCTCTAGTTCCAGGGTGTCCCGTGCCCTTTGCTGGCATCCATAGGCACCAGCTACTCATATAGTGTGCAAAGCAGCCAAAATATTCATACAGATAAAAATCTTTAAAAAAAAATGGGTCCTCTAGGCACTAGATACTAAGGGGCAAACACTGCTAATAGATGCCTATTTATTTCTGTTCAGCATGCTAAGCTCCTTTTCTCTGTGAAGAAGCATTTCCCTATGGTAAAGACTAAGTGGTTCAGAAGGGCCAGATATAATGACACATGTCTGCACTCTATCACTTGAGTGGTAGATGCAAGCAGGATCAAGAGTTCTGGGTCATCGTCTGCTACATAGCAAGTTTAATGCTAACCTGGGCTCCATGAGACCCTGTCTTAAAACCACAGGAAAAGAAAAGTGATTAAAAGGGGATCCCGGGTGCCTTTAACTCTAGCACTTACGGCGTAAAGATGGAATGGTTCTTTCACTTCCTAGGTGTGAACTGCCCCTTAGCGCTAGACTTGTAAAGGCACTCATCCAAAAGTGAAGGAGTAGTGTCTGCAAGTCTTTTTAAGATTTATTTAGTCTTATTTTATGTACATGGTGTTTTGCCTACATGTATGTCCTTGCACCACACATGTGCACAGTACGAGGAGGCCGGAAGGGAGTGTTAGATCCTCCAGAGCTAGAGTTTCAGATTACTCTTAGCTGAACCTGGACCTTCCGCAAAAGCAACAAGTACTCTTAGCTTCCAAGCTGTATCCCAGCTCTCAGATGCCCTTTTAAAAACCACAGAAACAGAAGTTATGATACCTTTTTCTTACAAAAGGATCTCAGGTTTATAACAGACCCAGCTTGTTGGCTGAGAACCGTGATGTGGTTTGTCATGAACCTGCATTTGATTGCATGTAAGTGAAACCACTAAAGCCCAGAAAATAACTGCCTTAAGCTTGGGACACAGAGTCCTTGGTCAGACTTAGGTATTCTCTGCCAAGCGCTGGGTGTGTAGTTTTTGTCTTATCACCAGGTTTTAAGAGAAAGAGTAGAAGCCAGGCATGGGAAGAAGTGAGCCAGGACCTGTGGTAAAGTGATCTTTATTCTTCGAGAAGCCACTGTGGGAAAAGGTGACTGATGGGAAGCTGACACTTGTTACCAACAGGTCTATGATATTGCATTCAGCCGAGCTGGAGGTGGCAGGGACATGTTTGCCTCTGTGGGTGCGGATGGCTCTGTGAGGATGTTTGACCTCCGCCATCTGGAGCACAGCACCATCATTTACGAAGACCCACAGCATCACCCACTGCTTCGCCTCTGCTGGAACAAGCAGGACCCTAACTATCTGGCCACCATGGCCATGGATGGAATGGAGGTAAACCCACTGTTATGTGAGCGCTCTGCCCCAGCTGGTCCTGCCACCCTTGAGCCCCAAATGAACATACAAGACATATTCATTATGAAACTTTTGGCTGATGGCTAGGGCTTCTTTTGTTTTGTTTTGTTTGTTTCAAGACAGGGTTTCTCTGTGGCTTTGGAGGCTGTCCTGGAACTCGCTCTGTAGACCAGGCTGGACTCAAACTCACAGAGATCCACCTGCCTCTGCCTCCTGAGTGCTGGGATTAAAGGTGTGTGCCACCAATGCCCGGCCTGGCTAGGGCTTCTTATTGACTTGCTCTGTCTTAATTATTAACCCATTTCTGTCAATCTGTCTTGCCACGAGACTGTGACTTACCTGGTGCTGGATCCTCTGGCAGGTGGAGTGGGGTGGGGGGGATACACACTGAGTCGGGAGTCTGTCAAAGCAGGAACTCAGTTTATTCCAACAGGCAGGAACTTATATAGGACTGAGGTAGGATGGGAATCTTAGGATGGGGTAAGGTGACATGAGGAGTAAGGGCCAATAATATTCCTCCAAGCTGGCAGGTAGCTAGGCAGGGGCCAGTCTTATATCAGGTCTTACTGCATCATCCCCACGTGGAGGTTACAGGTCAGAGACAGGTTGCCAAACTCTAGCCAGGCTCAGGAGGTCACACTGGGCCTCACAGCCGAGCCTTTTTTAGGCCCAACAACCTGGTAATGGCCGGCATGGTGTTACTCCTCCTGTAGCGACTCTGGCCTCCTACACTTTCCAGAATTCTCATCTCCTAGCCCCACTTACCTTCCTGCCTGGCCAATCAGTGTTTTACAACCAATAAGAGAAACATATACAGAAAAACATCTCTCATCACCCCATAGGCCTGCCTGTCCCTTGTCCAATCTGCCTTGTGTATTTACAAGAGTAGCTCTCAGATGGTGGCAGTTTTGTGTTCGGTAGATCTTTGGAAATACCTGGAAAATGGAAGACATTTTTGGTTGTCAGAAATTAAAGATGAAGGACAGAATATTTTTAGCATCAAGTGGATAATGATCAGGGAGGCTGCTAATCATCCTGCAATGCACAAGCAGTTCCCAAGAGTGTCAGTCTACTCAAAATGCCAGAAGGACCTAGACTAAGGGACCCTGATCAACAAAAAGGACTGTGTTCAACTTCTCCCTGCTTCTCTGGTGAAACAGAGTTGTAGCTCAGGCTAGCTTGGAGCTTACTGTGTATTCTAGGCTAGTCACAAGCTCACTGCAGTTGTACTGCTTTTGTGTTAAGGATTTCTGATACAGTGGGGATGTAGCTTAGCAGAAGAGTACTTATCTAGCATGCTCAGGGCTCTGAGTTTGATCCCCAGTACAAAAAAAATCATACACACGCGCGCACACACACACACACACACACACACACACACACACCAACCAGTAAACTTTCAATGGACATGGTGGTGACACACACCTTTAATCCCTCCTGACAGAGACAGGAGGATATCTGTGAGTTCAAGGCCAGCCTGGTCTACATAGATTTTTAGGGCTACATTGAAAAACAATTTTCTTAAAAAAATAAAATGAAATAATTTCTGATAGAGTTAAAGCTAAAACAAGAGGAACAGTGATAGTGGCTACAGTGGGGACTCAGTGCAGGTACACAGAGTCACCAGTGTTTGTTTGTTTGTTCTTCAAGACAAGGTTTTCTCTGTAACAGTCCTGGCTGTCCTGGAACTTGCTCTGTAGACCAGGCTGGCCTTGAACTCACAGAGATCCGCCTGCTTCTGCCGCTCCAGTTCTGGGATTAAAGGCGTGGGCCACCATCGTATCTTCTTTTAGGCACTTAACAAAGGTGTGTGTGTCTCATCCAATCTCACGTTGCGTGTTTCTGCTTCCTCTTTCTTCATTAGTCTAGAGTCCCAGGGTCTCAGCCCAGAGATGACGCTACATGTGTTTGTTCATTGTTTTCTTTGTTTCTCTGTCCTAGGAAACCCTGTCTTTAATGTTCCTCAAGTCCACAAATGAAAGGATTATGCTTAAAACTTTGTGAGATATGTTGTTTGTTTGTTGTTTTCCTGCCACACGGCAATTATTGGGCCTTTTTCTTACGTTTCCGCAGGTGGTCATTCTGGATGTTCGAGTTCCCTGCACACCTGTTGCCAGGCTAAACAACCACCGAGCATGTGTCAATGGCATTGCTTGGGCCCCACATTCATCCTGCCACATCTGTACCGCAGGTAACCGTGATGGAAGGAAGTATCAGAGTAGTGAAGATCCATCCCATCCTTGCTGTTTCCAAGAACAATTGTGTGAAATTGAAGTAGTCCACATTCCAGATGATCTTGTATATTCAGTTGGTCTCAGATCATCTTTTATTGACTAATGATGTTGTGTATCAGATACAGACCTGTGCATATATTCCTGTAGGGGAATGTGTACTCTTCCTCCCAATAATCTGGGTTCTTACAAGAAGAACCCCTCTTGGCTGTAACAGGATTTTGGGCACTACAAGGAATCATCTCACTTGGCCTTGGGTCTTGTACCTTCTCATAGCCTTACCTACAGTTCTCATTTTAGTAGTTTTTCTCAAAGAGGGGCTTCTTAAAAATACACTGCTTATCAAGTATTTCTGTTCTAGCCTGTTACTAAAATTAAAATAATACAGAGTTATAGTAAGTCAAAGGGTAGAAGTCATCTTTTCTCTTTGTTATTTCTTTTTTGTTGTTGTTGTTTTGGTTTGGTTTTTGGTTTTTTTTAGACAGGGTTTTACTCTATAGTCCTGGCTATTTTGGAACTCACAGGCTGTCCTCAAACTCACAGAGATTCACCTGCCTCTGCCTCCCAAGTGTCACTGCCTCCTGACTTGAGGACAAGTTTTAATAAAGATTTAATTGAGACCATTAGAAGACAGTGAGAGGAAGCTCTAAGGACAGTAATGCCTGGCCATTGTGGGCTTCTCAAGAGAGAACACTGCTTGGGGGAATTTTCTTTTTCTTTCTGTTTGAATCAGGGTCTCATTCTGTAGTACTGGCTGGCCTGTAACTTCTTATGTAGGCCACAGACTGGCTTCAAACTCAGGGCAATCCTGTTCTGCCTCCAGAGTGCTGGGTTTTGTTTTTTCTTGTTATTACTTTGTTGTTGTTTGGTTTAAGGTTTTGTTTTATTTTCATTTATTTTGTTGAGATAGGATCTCACTGTGTAGTGCTGTGTGGCCATAACTTGTGTTGATGAGGCTGAGCTCCAACTTGCAGCGTTCCCCTTGCTTCTGCATCCCAAGTGCTGGGGTTATAGTCATGTGCCACCACACCTAGCAAACACATTAATTGGCAGTGGTTCTTTGTTTTGTTTATCTTTGATGGTGTTAAGGATTGAACCAAGGATATTGAACATGATAGGCACTGAGCTGTGCCCCCAGTCCCCTATTGCTGGGACTCCAGGCATAGGTGGACTTTCTTTTAATGGTGCATGTCTATATAGCACTTTATGTCAGTCATCTGTACAACTTGTTGAAGGGTAAATGTACATAAAAGGGACGCAGTCATCAGAGAAGCATCTTTATTCACATGAGTATTTTTAGTGGCTGAAAGTGACATCATATTTTAGAATATTGCATCCTGTGTCCTGTCCTGATTCCTGACTCCAATGTTCTGATCTAATTCTCTAACCCTGGAGCAGTGGGTGGAGCTTAAGGACCTGGATGTGAGTCCTGACCCTGCCACTCAACTGGCTACGTGGCATGATGGGGCAAGTTTAACATTGCTAAATCATGGTTTCCTCGTCTCTAAAATAAAACTCCCTCATAAAGTTTTGGTGAGCAAATGTTTTGCAAATTATGATTGACTCTCCAAATGCAAGATTGTTACCACATTGTGGCCTGGAGAGATGGCTCAGAGGTTAAGAGCACTGGCTGTTCCTCCAGAGGACCTGAGTTCAATTCCCAGCAACCACATGGTGGCTCACAACCATCTATAATGAGATCTGGTGCCCTCTTCTGGCCTGCAGGGATACATGCAGGCAGAACACTGTAGATCTAACAAATAAAATCTTAATTAGAAAAAAAAGTAAAAACAAAAGATTGTTACCCTATTCTCTGAGCTGTGACATTCTTGCTTGTTTTTTCCCTAGCGGATGACCATCAGGCTCTCATCTGGGACATCCAACAGATGCCTCGGGCCATCGAGGACCCTATCCTGGCCTACACAGCTGAAGGGGAGATCAACAATGTGCAGTGGGCTTCAACTCAGCCTGACTGGATTGCCATCTGCTACAACAACTGCCTGGAGATACTCCGTGTGTAGTCTTGGCGGCACCTCACCTACCAGGCCGGGGCTTGTGTGTTTCAGCCTCTGCCCCTTTCCCTCCCCACATAAGAAGAACATGTTTCCAGTGGCCAGTATGTCTATTGTTGCTTTACACCCGCTGTGTCCAGAAGCTGCTGTAGGAGTCCAGGCCAGTTGCCCTCGCTATCTGTGCAGGACTGTGCTGTGTGGCGCACCGCAAGCCCAGCGTTGGGTTTTGCGATTTCTCTCCTTTCCTCTTCTTTGCTTCTTCAATTAAACATTTCTGTATATCTGTTTGTCAGCTGTTGTGTTCATGAACACTACAAGCACTGGCTCTGTCTGTTTACTGCCTGAGGTAGTAGTCCATGTCTTGTCCCCGTCCGTGTCCGTGTTAGCACTTAAGTGGGAACAAATGCCAGTTTCAAATTGTCTTTCCTCCTGGTATCAGTGTCTTTTAACAAACCTCAACTTTGTATATTTTTATCTATCAGCCTAATTTTGTATGAAAAGAATTTACTCTTCCTGGCTTCTTGGTTTCACAGTCCTCCCTCTTTGTACCGTCCTCTCCTCCCTCAGGGCCTGCAGTGGGTACTGGGCCCAAGAGCAGTTTGCCTTCCTGAGTCACTGCCTGCGTGGCACACGGCCAGGAGTTCAGAACTGTGAGGTGCTCTAGAGACTTCTGACTCACACCTTTCTCAGTCTGGGTCTCTTGAAGGCCTGACAGGCCCAGGACAGACATAAGAAGCCTTCTCTTCCACCCTCAAGTTCCTCTCTCTGGCCTCACTGATGAGGACTGGTAGAACAGACATAAGCAGTTGACTAGGGGCCAGGCTGAGGGAGAATGTTTCAGGAAAGCTGAACTTAACGTTGTATTTCCAGTACCTGGTTTCAGAATCTATTTTTCCATTTTAGAAAGACCCGTAGCTAAGCTTCGGTATCTGGTGAGTTTCTTCTGCCTGGTGGGATACTGGCCCATCCCTGGACGAGAGACTCCTGACCCTGAACAAGATCTTTAGGTTGATACAGACAAACAGCTCTCATAAAGGATGGACTGATCAGCTGTGGCGATCTCAGGGCCAGCCAGACAAGATCTGCCAGCACTGGCCCTCCCCTCAGTCTAGGTTCTGAACAGTATTGGACTTGGTAGGCTGCAGTTGGCCGTGCTGACTTACAGGCCTCAGGTGACTGTTTCCGTTACATGAATGGGTTCCATGGAGGGGACTTTTATGGTTCTGACTTTAGATGAGTCCCTGGCAGATTAGGACATGCTCTGGGGAGAGTTTGCCTGGCTCGTTTTCTACTGAGCTACCTGAAGGTTTCTTACATTCTCTGACACGAGGAGAGTAGTGTGCCTAAAATCTGATTGTTTTGCCCACTTAGCTGTCATTGCTGGAGAAGTAAATGCAGATTCATTGTTGTGGCACCTGGACTCTGTGGCTTAGTCTTGGCTCGATTCCTGCAGCTGATGCAGCTGTATGCCAAAAGTCTTAGACCGCTCACTGCAAAGGGGCTTGTCCCAAAGGAAAGGCATTTTCAGTCAGGGTGTTTCCCCTTGGCCTTTCTGGTTTGTCATTCTGATTTCTGGTCTCTGGCTGGCCATCTGCTTGAGATTAATTTCATGTGCTAACATGTGCTTTGCCCTGTATCATTTGCAGATAGAGAGCACGATTTGTGGTTACCTCTGTTTTTAGTGGTGTGTGCGAGCTGTTGTCACAGGGTCCTGAGGGTAGCAGGCATGCCGATGGTTGCTCTGTAGGAGCCCCCAGTTTCTCCCTGTGCTGAGTCTACGGGGAGCCAGAGTGATAGTGGCTGCCTGGGATGGGCCTCTGTGCTGGGTGGGCTTTAACCTGCGCTAAATGATGAGATTTGTCAACTGGCACTTGAAAACAAAGTTTTTAAAAAGTTGATAGTAGTTGCTAGAATAAACTTGTATGAGGTGCTTTGGAAACCAGCTAGCTACCTGTGATCTTTGCTTGCTCTGTGGATGCTTGTCATCTTTCTTTAGCCTGCTTTTTCTGCCCTCCATTTGGTCCAGGTAAGACTCTTGCTGTCTCCACCTTCAAATCCCAATGCACCACAGTTGCAGAGCTGCTGACATTCTGAAGTGCCGGCTTTCTCGCCCTCCCTTTAGAGCATGGATTGGTGGCCCTGTGGCCGAGGAAGAGATTTCTGTAGCCTTGAGATACAGAAAGTCACTCAGTCTGCCATGCTTCCAGAAGCACGGGTCTATTAAAATTTGGAAAGCTGATCTTAAGTTTGCCAGGTCTTAGACTGACAGGGAGGAGGGTGGGGACCTCCAGACCCATTCTGCTCCAGGCTCTGGTGTGGCTGCAGTGCTATTTGAATTTGACTTTGGCATGCTAAACTGGAGGCTCTGGCTGTGCTTCTGTGTCTGCTGTGTGGTGGTTTCATGCTCAGTCAGATTAGCAGAGATGAGCTGCTGAATGGGTCGGAGGCCTTCATGGACTTGAGAGCTTTTCCACATAGGAGATTGGATCTCTCTCCTGGCCTGCAAGGTTAGGACTTAAAGAGTGACGACACCTGACAACTGGGTGGTAATTTTCTATCAAAATCAGGAAATACTAGAAAACACAGGGCCTGAGGGGAGGAACATTAAGAATGTCTGTCTCATAGTTATGAAGTGATCCTGTACCTCAGCCTAGGTTGGCCTTCCAGTACCATCCATGTCACTGGGTAACTGGATAACTAGGAACAGGGTGACAGCTAGGGGCAGAGAGCACCTTCCTACAGCAAGGCTGCTACAGGTGATGTCTGGTTGTTAAGATCTAAGTATTGGGTGTCCCGTGACAGTACATGATGATACTGTTTATTTTGTTTGAGACAGGGTCTTGCACTTAGGGTCCTCTCACTAAAGTCTCCCTGAGTGCTGGGATCACAGGCCTATGCCACTATCCCCAGCATCCATGGCTCTTCCTGTAGATCCCCTTCTCCATTTATCTTCCCTTTGCCTTTTCATTTTTCATTGTGTGTGTGGGGGGATCAAACGCAGACCTTCACACATGCTAGGCAAGTGTTCTACCATTGAACTACACCTCTAGCACCTTCTCTGTCTTTTTCCTTTCCTTCTCCTGTTACCTTTCCTCTGTAGAATGTTCTCCCAGATGTATCCTGAGCCCTAGATTCCTGGGCTGTAAGGACTATGGAGTTTACCAAGCATGGGTAAGCATTTTGAAAATATGGCAGTTCCTTCAATTGCTTGGCTTAGGATAGAGAGTACCATTGCTATAGAGGCCTCAAAAACGCAAGTCTCCTTTAGAGCCTGTGTCAGGGTGAGGAAGGCGGGGCATGCTGGTCTTTAGAGCCTGTGTCAGGGTGAGGAAGGCGGGGCATGCTGGTCTTTAGAGCCTGTGTCAGGGTGAGGAAGGCGGGGCATGCTTGGCACTTAGGTTGGATTTTCTGAGAGGAGAGTTGACCTGAGCAGTGTCACCATGAACCCTGAGCCAGGCTTTCTCAGTTGTCCTCTCTGCTCTGGTGAGGCCATAGCTGAGTGTCTCATGCCTCAGCTTGTTCACCTCACCCAACTACATCCTCTCTTCCTCCCATACTGTCACTGCTGCCAATGGTCAGATTGTCAAGCATGTGGCATTATGGGATAGACAAGCTTCTTGGGCTGCTGTCTGGGTGTCACTTTTTAAATATGGAAACATACAGATGTCTTCTCTAAGAGGCTTGAACTAATGTGCCAGCCAGAAACAATAAGCTAAGGGTAGTTTGAACTCCAGAAGAAAGATGTGACAGTCTGGGTGACAGCTGGAAAATGTATGAGCACCCACTTTTGGGACAGCTCAGTGAAGCAGAACTGTACTATCGACTGTTGAAAGAAATGTTCTCACCTTGGGCTGATTGTTATGTATAATGTGTTGGAAAACTGTTGACCTGAAGCTTTGAATTGCTTTAGTCAAATGAGTCGCTTGCTTTGGTCCCGTGTGTTTTATAACCCTTCCATCAGTGACTTTCCCTTGCCCCACCCTGAGTGTGAATTATAGCATGATTGTACAAACCTCTGTGTAGAAAATGGAGATTTCTTGTTCTACAAAATGTTAAGCTCTAACTGATCCATTTCTGTGCCCTTTAGTCTCATGTGTATGAACTTACTTTCTTAAATATTTAAACTTCCCTTCTGCTCTAAAGCTTTTGTGGCATCCCTTGTTCAGGTGGAGAGGAAGCTGCCCCCTTGCAGAACTGTACTGTAACCATTTCTCCTTTATAAATATTATTTTCACAGGGCTGATTGTATACAGGGCTTGTAATAAAATTTTAACACTGTGCTGTGAACGAGCTTAGGATTCTCCACCAGAGGCCACCTGAAAAGCACCGAGAGTGGAGTGTTCTTTCTGTGACTTTACTTCTTCGTTCTGTTTCAGCCTCCTGTATAAGAAGTACCGTATTTTCTGCCCATCATACTTTGTAATAAAACTTGAACATGTATAGATTGAATTTCTTCTTGTGATGCATTCACTTCTTCCCAGTTTGTTCTTGTGGCATGTTTCGGAGTTCACCTCAGTTCAGCACAGTGCTCTGACGGCCCAGCTCATTATCTTGTGTCTCCTCTCTGTTCACTCACTTCCTAGTCAACTAAGGCAACACGGACCCCTACTCCACACCAAGGGCCATAACCTCAGATTGCTTGTGTTTTTCCAGAGGGATGTCCACAAATTTGTAGAGTTCTGCAGTAATGGGGCTGTGTTTAGGAGGCCTGAGGCCACTCCTGTCGGGTGAGAGCCAGAGTTGGCCAGGAAAATGTCACAAGATGAAGGATGTCTGATTTGGGTTTTGAAGACTTAAGTAGGAGTTGTCTGGGAATGGGGGAATGCCATTTAAGGCAAAGAGAGTAGTCATGCAAATTTATGTAAATAAGAAAGGGTATGGTCTTATTCAGGGAATTACTAGTCAATGGATGTGTGTGAGGAACAGTGAGGAGGGTGATGAGAGAGGGAAGCAGCCACCACGTCAGGGAGAATCCTGTGCTTTGCAAAGCGTCTGGGTCTTAACTTGTGGGAGACTACGAAAATACAGAGGTTAATGAGGATCTGACTGCCTTTTTAAAATTTACTTTCTGGAGCTAGCCTCGAACTTACTGTGTAGCCCAGGACAACCTAGAACTTTGTATCTTCTTACCTGTGCCTCCAAGGTGCTGGGATAACAGATGTGCACCACCACATCAGTTCATGGCAGACATATTGGGGTTCTCTAGAGAAAAAGAACTAATAGAATGGATATGTTGAAAAGAGATTGGTTAGATTGACTCACAAGATAGGGCCTGGGTAGTCCAGTAATAGCCATCTGCACACTAGAGAGGCTGAAAACCCAGTACCACCTCATTTCACAAGGCTGCCCCTCAGCAGTCCTGGTACTGAGAGCCTGGAGGATTCCTGGAGAGCTTCTGGTCTTCAGCAGCTGAGTAGATGTACTTACCAGCCAGGAGGGAAGGTCAGCAAAGAGCACGGCTCCTCCCCCAACCCCCAGGCCTCTTAGAATCAGGGCTGCTTGGAAGAAGGTACCATCCACACTGGGAGAAGGTCTCCTCCCTCATTTAACCTTTCATAGAAATGAACTCACAGAAGCATGTTTTTTTTTTTGTTTTTTTTTTTTTTTTTTGAGACAGGGTCTATGTGCTGTGATATATAGCCTGGATCCCAGGCTGACCTTAAACTGTCTCAGCCTCTGTGGCTACATTTGTGTACCACTGTACTTGGCTTGCATGTTTAAAAAGATAAGCAGAGAGGAAAGAGCCTCTGAGAGGATGAGCTTTCTTTTGCTTGTTTTTGTTTTTGCTAAGACAGGGTCTTGTAGCTCAGGTTGACCTGAAACTCCCGAGTGTTTGCATTACATGTGTGAGCTCTCACACCCCATACCCATTTGTGAGAGACATGGTTTCTGCCTCATTTTGAAGGCTAACACTAGGAGAGTGAGACCTCCAGAAACCTCAACAGGCTATGCTATTCTGTGCAGCCTGTCTGTGGAGAGCTTGATCATGCGCCCAGGGCGACTGCAAACCTTGTTTTGGTTTCTATACTTATTTGTGGTTATTGATTTATTTCTGCTACTAAATAACATAAGCTTGGACTGTGGGTGCAACTCGGTTGACAGAGTGCTTGCTTCTCATGCACAAAGCCCTAAATTCAGTCCTTGGTACCATATAAAACGATGCAGTGGTGCTCACCTGTAATCCCATCACCTGCAGGTGGAGGCAGGCAGGAAGATCAGAAGTCCAAGGTCACCCTTCACTGTATAGTGAGTTCGAGGCCAGCCTGGTCTGGAGTCCCTGTCTTGAGACACTGAAGCTGCATTTTTAAGTTACAAAAACCAATGTGTCATTAGAGAAAAAGAGTTATGAACACTTGGAGTTCCCAGCACCCACATCAAGTAGCTTACAACTGCCTATCATTCCAGCTCCAGGGGATTCACTGCCGCCTTTTGGCTCCCATGAGTACCTGTACAGAGAGATCCATATGTAGACACATGCACACATTTAAAGGGGGGGAGGAGGTTGGCTCACCTGTTAAAAGCACTTGCTGATCTTGCAGAAGACCTGGGTTTGGTTCCCAGCACCCACATGGTGACTCATGACCACCTGTAACTTCAGTTTCAGAGGATCTGGCACTGTTCTGGCTTGATCAGGCCCCAGACATAGATGTAGGCAAGACACTCATACACAAAAATAAATGATTAAAATGTTCTGGACATGTGCTGGGCGTTGGTGGCGCACGCCTTTAATCCCAGCACTCTGGAGACAGAGGCAGGTGGATCTCTGTGAGTTCGAGGCCAGCCTGGTCTACAGAACGAGTTCCAGGGCAGACTCCAAAACAATACCGAGAAACCCTGTCTCAAAAAAAAAAGTAAATATGGCTAAATGCTACAGTCAACTGAACCATGAAAACATAATGTTCTAGTTTCCTTTCTGTTGCTATGGCAAATACCATGAGCAAAAACAACCTAGGATTGGAAAAGATTGACTTGGTTTACACTTCCAGGTCATGGTCCATCATTGAGGGAAATCAAGACAAGAACCAAACAGGAGCTTGAAACAATCCACAGATGAATGTTATACATGTGTTCCCACACTCTCCTTCTCCTCCCCGTGTGTGTGTGTGTGTGTGTGTGTGTGTGTGTGTGTGTGTGTGTGTGTGTGTGAGAGAGAGAGAGAGAGAGAGAGAGAGAGAGAGAGAGAGAGAGAGAGAGAGAGAGAGAGAGAGAGAAATCCTTAGCTACCTTTATTTTTCCCATTTTAAAAAATGTGTCTGGGTCCTGGAAAGATGGTTCAGGGATTAAGAGCACTGGCTGCTCTTCCAGAAGACCCAGGTTCAATTCCTATCACCCACATGGCAGCTCACAACTGTTATCCAGCTCCAAGTCATTTGACACCCTCACACACATATGTGTGCAGGCAAAACACCAATGCACATAAAATAATTTTCCAAACAGGGTTTCTCTGTGCAGTCTTGGCTGTCTTGGAACTCACTCTGTAGACCAGGCTGGCCTTAAACTCACAGAGACCTGCCAGCCTCTGTCTCCCCAACTGCTGGGATTAAAAGTACACATCACCACTACCTGGCTGTAAATTTTTTAACGTGTCTGTATATATTCCCTGAATCTGTCTGTGCATGCCTGTGGAGGCCAGAAGAGGACATCAGATCCACTAAGACTGAGTCACAGATGGTTGTGAGCCATCATTTGAGTGCTGAGAAGCAAACCCAGGTGCTCTGGATGAGCAGCCAGTGCTCTTAACTACTGAGTCATCTCCCCAGCACCTTAGCTACTAGCTTTCTGATGTAGTTCAGGACCACCTGCCTAGGGATGGTGCTGCTAACAGTGGTCTGGACTGTCCAATATAAATAAGATTCACACAGAGAGACACGTCTGATGGGGGAAGTCCTTCTGTGTATATGTTTGTCTTATCAGTTGATAAATAAAGCACTGTTGGCCAATAGGGAAGCAGGTTAGGTGGGACTAGGAGTCGAGGAGGATTCTGGGAAGTGTAGTAAATAGTGGAGAGTCGCCATGTGATCCCAGGAAGAGAGGATGCATGAGTACGGCGTCCTCGGTAAGATAAGACCTTATAGAAATACATATACATGTATATGTATATGTATATATATATATATATAAGTATTATGGGTTAATATTTAAGACCCTGGGCATTGACAGACAGCATTGTAACTAACAGAGTCTCTGTGTGTTATTTGGGGTTGATGCGACTTTGGGACCAGACGGCAGGAAGAGTTATCGTGACATGTGTCCATGTGCCAATCTCATCTGGTAATTCCTCTCTTGAGGATCTCCTTTCACATGACTCCTGGCTGTGTCATGTTGACAAAGGTAAGTAGGTATCTTAGTTACTTTTCCTGTGAAGAGACGCCATGACCAAGGTAACTTACAAAAGAAAATATTTCCTGATGCTCATGGTTCCAGAGGGTTAGAGTCCATCCATGATCATCGCAGTAGGGAGCATGGTGGGGAGCATGGCGGCAACTGGGCAGTCACTGAGCAGTGGTTAGGAGCTTACACCCATCCTGATCTGCAAGCCGGAGGCAGAGAACAAACTGCAATGCTCTGGGCTTTTGAAACTTCAAAGCCGACATCTTCCCCAACAAGGCCACAGCTTAATCCTTCCCAGACAGTTCCACCAGTGGAGGACCAAGCATCCAAGCATAGGAACCTATGGGGTCATTCTCATTCAAGCCACTACACTGGGACACATGCCAAATGAAAGAGATCATTCACAAAACCACATATTAGGTACTCTGATTAATAGACAATGTTTAACAGAAGTGTACCCATAGAGACGGAAGCATCAGTTGTTCAGACCCGTGACAATTGAGGGGAAATGAGGAGCCACTACAAACAAGTACAGGGGTTTCCTTTCAGAGTGATGAAAAGGCTAAATCGTGGTGATGGCTTCTCAGTGGGGATACCAAAAATCACTGTACACTTTAACTTGGTGCCCTTTATTATTATGTAGAATTGGTCAATAAGGCTATTTAAGGAAAATATACAACTACTGAGTATCGGAATCACAATACTGTGGTAGACATTATTTTGACATGAAAAAGTTAAGTGCTAGCCCAGCCAGATGTCTTAGCAGATAAAGGCTCCTGCCACCAAGCCTGATGACCTGAATTTGAACCCCAGACCCCACATGATGAAAGGAAAGAACTTACTCCCACAGGTTGCGGGATGAATTTAAGAAAACCTAAGTGAGGAGGTATAAGCATGCATGATGGGTGGTGGGACATAGGTTAGAGCATCTAGCTGGGAAGTCTGATGTTTAGGTCCTGCTGAATCTTTGAAGAACAAAATGTTTACAGGTGAAATGGGATAAAAAACAAGTCTGTGTTTAATACAGGACTTGAGAGAAGTTTCAGGAGTTTGATTTCTGTGACCTGCAAAGCAAAGGAGGAAGAGGACAGGCCGTCTCTAAGGAACCTGGAAAACTCATAGGGGCCAGCAAGATGGCTCAGTGGGTAAAGACAATTGAGCTTAATTCCTAATGGTGGAGAAAACTGTCATGTTATCCTCTGACCTTTAAGTATGCATCATAACACATACATCTACACACAAGCACACAAAATAAATAAAATGTAATAAATTTACATTTTATGTGCTGACTGGGAGCAGTGGCTTCTGCCTGTAATTCCAGTATTTGAGAGGCTAAGGCAGGAGGATCACTATGAATTCAAAATTAGGCTTGACCTAATTTTGCAGAGTGAGCCCCTATCTCAAAAAAAATGGGGATGGGGTGGGGAGATAACTCAGTGACAGAGTGCTTGCCTAAGCATTCTGGAAGCCTGGATTTGAGTCCCCAAAACCTACTTTCTAAGAATTTGAAGGATAGGATAGGAGAAAGGGATCAGTCGTTAAGAGCACTTCTAAAGCCCATACACATAAAATATAAATAATGTTTTAAAGACTCAGTTCAGCTGTCACCTCAGGGAATCCTTAGGGTACTTCTGCAAGGTTAAAGATTGTTATGCATGTTTGCCTTCATGTGTGCCTGCAGCATGTGTGTGCAGAACCTGCAGAGGTGAGAAGAGTGCACAGAATCTCCCGAGATGTGAGTTACAGAAGCTGGGAGCCACCATGTTGGTGCTGGGAATCGCACCCAGTGCCTCAGCAAAAACAGCAAGTTCTAAATGCTGAGCCCTCTCTCCAGTCCCATGAGCTGAGTCTTGCTACATGATTTCACGAGTGAGACAATGAAGGCCACTCAAGGGAAACAAAAGTGGTATAAATAATTTATACTCAGGCTGTGCATGGTGGCTGCCAGAAATTCTGGAACTAGGAAGACAAAAGCAAAGGATGGTGAATTAGCAGCCAGCTTGATGCCCATTGGAGATGTAGCAGCAGAACATGAGAATGGAAGATGAGTAGGCTAATTATATATATATATATATATATATATATATATATATATGTATATATATATACTTGTGTAATAATATAAAATCTGCCAGCCTGGTCTACAAGAGCTAGTTTCAGGACAGCCTCCAAAAACCACAGAGAAACCCTGTCTCAAAAAACCAAAAAAAAAAAAAAAAAAAAGAAAATACATAAATAAATAAAATCTGTGCCCATGTCCCCACTGTCCTGCTTGTTCTTCTCAAGGTCATCGTATGTGGAGGGAAACAGAAAGTAAAGCAACTTGCCCAAGGTTGCACTAGTAAATACCAGAAACAGTTTGAATCCATCTGGTGTAACTTTAGAGAGCAAAACTTTAAACTACCTTCACAGTGTCCTGGGGAGCTCTTTTTGTTTTGTTTGTTTATTTGTTTTGTTTTTCAAGACAGGGTTTCTCTATGGCTTTGGAGTCTGTCCTGGAACTAGATCTTGTGGACCAGGCTGGTCTCAAACTCACAGAGATCCTCCTGCCTCTGCCTCCCAAGTGCTGGGACTAAAGGTGTGAGCCACTAATGCCCAGCTCCACCGTATCAAGCTCTTACAGAGGAATTTTGAACCACAACTTTGTTTTTTTCTTTTTCTATAGGGCTCCCTTTCTCTGGTTTTCACTGTCAAGGGAGCAGTGGAAGGTGCTGGAGAGGTAACTCCACAGTCAAGGCTATTGGTATCTCTTACAGAGGACGCAGGATCAATTCCTAGCACTCACATGGCAGCTCACAATCACCTATAACTCCAATTCTAGGCTATTTTGATGTTTTCTTCTGGTCTCCACAAGGCACCAGGCACACATAGTCATAAATGCAGGCAAAAAAACCATGCACATTAATTAAAAATACTTAAAATATTTTTTAAACAGCAGATGGAAAATGAAGATAGCAGTGTGACTCAAAAGCTGGTCTGATCTTTTGTTCTTTCCCCCAAGCCCTGTGATTCACCCGACTCTGTACCCAAACCATCTTCTTGGGTTTAGGAGCCAATCATGATTACAATTGCTACTTACATACCTTTTTAACTCAAACTTCAGGGGTTTATGCTGTGTTTTCAACTCTCCAGTATGGGTTGGCAAGAGCAAGATAATGCCATCCTTGTTTATAGAAATAAAAATCTAAATCATAAAGTCTTAAATAACTGGGCAAACTACTTCTCTAGCTGATGGTATGATTTTTAAAATAAATACATTGCTTTTTGTTTTGTTTTGAGACAAGGTCTTGGTGTCACAACCCTTCACTCCCCAAGTGCTGGAATTACACACATGGGCTACCACTCCCGGAATTTAGGACTATTTTGTTTGTTGTTGTCTTTTTTAAACAGGCAGCCTTGGCCACGGTTTCTTTGCATGTAAAATGAACCGACTGAACGACATATTTCTTTTTGAACAACGAAACATTTATTATTCTGGACTTTGTTTAGAGTTAGGAAGGAAAATCAGTCACACGAATCTCTACTGGTTCACTGGAAGGAAATGTGGCGTCTCCAGGCAACCGGGAGCAATTGAGGTCTGGGTCACTCCTGGCAGGAGCGAGTACGAAGGTGAGGCGGAACCAACTTTGCAGGAGCTGGGGACGTATTTTGCAACGGACCAGGCAGAGGAAGTGTACTGCGCCAATAAGGGTCTCCATGCCCGGCGGCCGCCGGTCATTTACGGCTGTATAGTTTATGTGGATCTGAGTCTTTGAGTTTCTGGAGACCCGCAGCCGCGGCCAGAACGTCCAGACCGGCTTGTTCCGGTAGCAGGTTAGACAGCTTGACCTTGGCCGCTCCTCTTTGCGCTTTGCAGCCCCTGGTCGAAGCAGATGATGTCGTGGGCTGCTGTTAACCTGAGAGGGACAGCTGCCCGATGCTTTCGTGCGCGATGCTTCGGGATCCGCATGGGTCCTTGGTGCGTCTCCCAGCAGGAAAACCCCGGCTGCGGTCCAACTCTACATAGGACGCTGCGTGTCAGTGCGGCGGCCACCGCGGGACACAATAAATGGTCTAAAGTCCGGCATATCAAGGGCCCCAAGGACATGGAAAAGAGTCGAATCTTCACTAAACTCATTCTCAGAATCCGTCTGGCGGTTAAAGGTGAGAACCTGACAGTCCCCACTGCTGATTACCGAGGGCCTTTCGGTGCCCCCTAAATTGGATTAGGGCCGATTATTTTCTTTGTGTTTTCCAGTTGCTATCGATGTCCTACCCATAACTCTCAAAGCGCCCGATTCACTGGATATTCCTGTTTTCCTTTCCAAAAACTTTTCGGAGACCTGCCCTTAGAAAAACAGAAACGTCTCCATCCAAATCTATAGTTAGATAGGTACTAAACAGAAATAAACCTTAAGAGTCAAGTCAGGGCTTGGAGAGATGGCTCAGCGGTTAAGATAGCACCTGCTGCTCTTGCTGAGGACCTGCCTTTGGTTACAAGCACCTGAAACTTCAGTTCCAGGGTACTCAACGTCCTCTTCTGGCCTCCTCGGGCAGTTCATGCATCATCCAGGCAGGTAAACACACACACAAAAAAATCTTTTTTAAAAGGCAGGTGTATGCCTTTCTTGAAGGAATAAACCAAGCCTTCTGCAGCCGTTTTTACTACTACTGAAGGCTATGGCGGGCGTGCTGAGCCAAGTCATTTCTTACCGGGGCCTCATTTTCCCTCGTTGGAGCTCCTGAGAAACTTTCTTGGAAGGTCGGTTTGGAACCGTGTATCTGCTTGATGGTGCAACTGTTCCCCCCTCCCCATTTTAATGTCAGGCACTGGTAGGAGTAGGAGAAAAAAATCTGTGCAGAGTGTGGGTCTGGAGTCAGGAAGACATGAATTCTTTCATTGACTAGGTTGCTACAAAAACTTTTCAACAAGTGGCTTAGCTACTGAATTTCAGCTTTCTGTAAAGCAAGGATAATACCCATCTTGAGGTGGCTTACAGCATACAGAAGGTATTAAGCAGCAGCTTCTGCCTGATGCTTCCCTTTGCTTCCTCTCCTAACAAAGTTTTGATTTAACCAACATGTTATTTTGATCTCAGAGGGGATACTACAAAGAACCCCCAGTGTGTCCCCTACCCTCAGAGTCTGAGCATGAATCCAATGTCATGTGAGAATGTCAGAGATTATGTACTGATAGAGTAAGAGCAAGGATATTATTATGATTCAGCCACTTCATCTGACAAAAGTGGAGTTTATTGGAGCCTAGCAAAATGATAACTATCCCTAAAGGCAGAGTTGGGAACTTCTTTTCCAGGCTGGGTTCGTAGCCCTGTGTTTAGCATGGATAAGGCCTTGGGCTCCATCTCCAGTATTCCCCACCAAAGCAACTTTTTTCTCAAAATAGTTCTCCTTCTTCCAATGTGAGACAGACTCTCACTTTTTTTTTTTTCTTTTGGTTTTTCAAGACAAGGTTTCTCTGTATAACAGCCCTGGCTTTCCTGGAACTCACTCTGTAGACCAGACTGGCTTTGAACACACAGAGATCCACCACCTCTGCCTCCTGAGTCCTGGGATTAAAGGCGCTCTGCCACCATGCCTGGGCAGAATCTCACTCTTAACTGAGACTGACCTAGAATTCATTATGTAGATCAGGCTCCTGCCTAAATCTACTGCATGCTGGGATTGCAGGTGTGCACCACTATGCTTATTTAGATGAAATATTCTGCTTACCTCTGTGTGTGTGTGTGTGTGTGTGTGTGTGTGTGTGTGTGTGTGTGTGAGCATTCGAGAGTGCATGTGCATGTCAGAGGTCAGAGGTTAACTTTCTGGAGCTGGTTTGTGCCTTCCTCCTTTGTGTGGATTCTAGGGATGGGTCCCAGGTTGCTAGGCTTATGCAGTAAGCACTTTTACCACCATCTGTCTGGTTTTATTTTATTTTATTTTGTTTGTTTGTTTCAGGGATCTTACTGGCCTAGAGTTCACCATATAGACAGCTGGCTGACAGAGAGTCTCAGGATCTGTTTCTACCTGTGTGGTTCTGGGATTATAAGATAGTGCTGGTGTTTTCCTGTATGTGGGTTCTAGGGATCAAATTCAGATCCTTTGCTTGCAAGGCAAGCACTTTGCACACTGAGCCCTCTTCGTTGGATAATGCTTTCTAATAGAGAGTAATTCGCCATTGTTTTGGGGTTGGGGAGGCTGGAAATCACTTATTTCTCCATACTAGGATGAGATAGATGTCTTTGATCATTCTTTTCCCTTTATCCAGAGGGAGGCCCCAACCCTGAAAACAACAGCCACCTGGCCAACGTCTTAGAGGTGTGTCGAAGCAAGCATGTGCCCAAGTCAACTATTGAGTCAGCACTGAAAACAGAGGTGTGTCCTCAGGTTCATATTGTTATTATTGAGCACAACCCTCAGAGGTCCATGTTTGGAAAGCCACAGAAAAGTCTTAAATTATCAGAGAGAAGGGTAGGAACTCGGTGGGACTTCTCTATCCTTGGCCTTTGGTTAGAGGAACATGACTGGGAATAGGCTATGTAAGCTGTATGGAGACCCAAAGAGGGTAGAGCTGCTTTGTCAAGCTTGGAGAAGATAGGGTAGAAAGGACAGGTAAAAATGGGAAAGCCCTGTGTGAGGTTGAAGAAGGGCTTGTTTTTCTTCTCAGATGTTTATGTCTAAAGGAGAAAAACCTGTAAAAAGAGACGTGAAGGGCAATGGTAATGGTGGGAGTGGGCGGGATGTTGGGCTCCAACACTTCTTCCTCTGGAACAGGTAAGGTTTGAAGAGTTAATAATCATCTTTTTGTTGTTTTATTTTCAGACAGGGTCTTTTTGTGTAGCCCAGGCTAGCATGGAATTCATGATCCTCCTGCCTCATCCTCACAAGTGCTCAGCCTACAGAGGTGTCTCGTTACTCCCCAGAGTAATCATCCTAATAGCTGGCAGTTATTGGGTGCTGGTTCCTGACCAAGTGTTTTAATAGAAACTGCATGCAAAACCTCAGTACATTCCTAAAGTAACCTAACATGGAAACTAAGGCACAGAAGGTTTGGTGACTTGATTTAGGTCATTTAGAAGATGACAGACCCAAATCCAGGTAGCCAGACCCCAGAGAGTTTGAAATTCATTTGTGGAAATGGATGGGAGGAGTCATCAGCTGAAAAGGACAGGTACAGGGCAAGGCGCTTAGGAGGAGCAGTGGCGTGGGCAGGCGGTGAGGTCTAGGGAGTCTGGAAGAGACTGACAACTAGTTGTGAAGTGTTTGAATTCAGCTACAGTGCTAAATACAGTGGCTCCCATGACAAGCTCTACATACGTGATGTTTCTATAGCAGCACCCAGCAGTCCAGGGCTAATGGCGTTGAGAACTACTAAGTAGGTTTCACATGGAATGGAATACAGGAAGATGAATAAAGGCAGGAGAGACTGTGGGGGAGGAGGTAGGCTCCAGTTAGAGATGGGTGGAGGCTGAACTGGGAAAGGCCAATCAGAAACCAGGGAAACATACTCTCTTTTAGAAGGAAAAGTACTTCTAGTGATGCCAGAAGTTGATACTGTTGTCCTCATCCTCGGAAGACAGAGACAAAGACAAAGACAAAATAAAGCCCAAGACAGAGACAAAATAAAGCCCAAGCTCAAGTAATTCTTGAGAGGTCATACATGGAGCTACTTTTTAGTACCTGTGGTTTGGAGCTGCCATAAGGGTATTGGGACATTAGAAAACAGGACAATGGATTTTTCTTTTTCTTTTTTTTTAATTTCAGAAAAACAAGGGCATTCATTTGCTGTACGGGGTCAGAGGCCCTGGTGGCTCTTCTTTGCTCGTTGAGGCATTATCAAGCAGTGGTCCCAAGTGCCATTTGGACATTAAATATATCCTGAACAAGAATGGGTAAGTGTGTGTATGTAGGGAGGAAGGGAACAGAGCCTTCAGGTTGCAGTTCTATGCAATGCAGATGCTTTTGGTCCTCAGTATTTCGGGTTGTAAACATGCTTCTTCCTTAATGGAACCCAGTGCAATAGCTGATTTTCCCCTTAGTGTCTTCTGAATACGATAGGATCCCATAGGTGTAAATGAGATCTTTTCCCCATTGCTCCATCTGTAGCCCTATGATGTCCCAGTCTTAGAACATTCCACCAGGACAGAAGTTTTAATGGAGTAGGAAACAATAAGCAAAGTTTTGTCCTGCAGACTCCAATGAGTGCAGAAAATAGAAGATGAGGATGTTCTTGGATAATCCCCTCCCCCAGCAGCAGCTTCATCTTCTTCATGAAGAGAGCTGCTGTGTGTCTCTGGGTACTCCAGGGACCAAAGGATGAGGGATAGTGTTAGAATGCAGCACTTAATGGAGACTTGGCTTCTAAAACCATCCAGGCGTTGTCTGTTCCCTTTCCTGTCAGGGGAATGATGGCTGAAGGAGCACGTCATTTCTTTGACAAAAAAGGAGTGGTTGCCGTTGGAGTAGAGGACAGAGAGAAGAAAGCTGTGAACTTAGAACGTGCCCTGGAGCTGGCGATTGAAGCAGGGGCTGAGGATGTGAAGGAAGCTGAGGAGGAAGAAGAAAAGAACCTTTTTAAAGTGCGTATGGGGCCGGTAAGATGGCTCAGAAAGCAAGATGGCTGCTCAGCTTGCTTCCAAGTCTGACGACCTGAAGCCTTTGTGTTTGGTGACTTCCAAGGGGTCCCTAATAGATACCTTAGGGCATAGGTCTCTGGGCTTGTTCCTTCCTGTGTGTAAGGACACAAGTAAAGCAAAGAATTCACAAATTTCCCAGTGTTATTAAGAGAATACCGGAGGATGGGACCTATTCTTGCAAGTTGATGAGGATTCTGAGCACTGGAAACTGAGCGTAAGGCCAATGATGGTACAGTCCAGGTTGCTCCACTCAGGACTTTGCAGAGTTCTGTCTGGCGTGGGACATTACTTCCTAGCTTCTCACCTGACTTTCTCTCATCCCTAGTTTATTTGTGACGCCTCTTCACTGCATCAAGTGAGGAAGAAACTGGACTCCCTGGGCCTGTGTTCTGTATCCTGTTCCCTGGAGTTCATCCCCAACTCAAAGGTGCAGCTGGCTGAGCCTGACCTGGAGCAGGCTGTTCACCTCATCCAGGCTCTCAACAACCACGAGGACGTGATTCATGTTTATGACAACATCGAATAACCAGACTGTGCGAATCTCCACATTCTTTCCTAGGTTGCACGAGCTTATGCAGTAATCTCGGAGACTGACATGGGTGGGCGTGTCAGAGACCTGATGCCATGGCTTACAGCCTTAAGAAAAAGGGACTCTTAGCTCTGTTGGTGTCACAGGGCCATCTGGGATACAAGATGAAACTAGCTAGCTGATCTGACTCTGATCTCAGGTGACTGGCCTTTGTCAAGATTCTAAGTGTTTTGTGGTAGTATAGAGTGGAAATTAATTATCAATAATTACAGTAATGCCAGGTGGTAATGGTGCATGCCTTTGATCCCAGCACTCAGGAGGCAGAGGCAGGCAGATCTCTGTGAGTTTAAGGCCACCCTGTTCTATAGAGCAAATCCCAGGACAAGCTGCAGAGAAACCCTGTCTTGAAAAACCAAAATAATAATAATAATAATGAGTAGTGATTGATTATTTTTGGATGCTGCATTGGTGGTATGACTCTTGAGTTGTCCCCAGTTTGTGTCTAGTATTTGAACTTCTGGACTAATGTTGAGGCTTATTTCTCTACTTTAGTACTAAGATTGTCTTTTTTTCCTTTTCACAATAGAATTGTGGCTGCTCTCTGTGGTTGAATGCTGGCCTAATGACCTAGCCTTTTCACTCACTCATGCAGCTAGTATTTCTTTACAAGAATTATGCTTTTCCAGAGACCAAGCTCTTCAGTTAATGCTTGGGCCAGGCGTTGGTGGTGCACGCCTTTAATCCCAGCACTCAGGAGGCAGAGGCAAGCGGATCTCTGTGAGTTCGAGGCCAGTCTGATCTACAGAGCGAGTTCCTGGACAGCCTCCAAAACAATACAGAGAAGAAACCCTGTCTAGAAAAACCAAAGAAAAAAGAAAGAAAGAAAGAAAAGACAAGACATGGGGCTGTCCCAGGGTAGTGTGGACTATGTTCATCATCCTCTTTTTCTTCATGTGGTTTTGTTCCCTTTTCTGTCTGTTTAAGGCTTTAGTGCCATGGGAAGTGAGGTGTCAGGGAAGGGGCCTCCTCGGGATCTACTGTGACCAACCCTTGTGTGTACAACAGACCTACCAGCAGATGGGGTTATTCTCCCTTTCTAGTGTTGCCAGATGACAGGAACACCAATAACTAGAGGGATCGAGGAACAAAGGAAGAGTGACGGCTGAGCCAGAGCCTGGCCGCTTGTACCTTTGGCTCCTGACGGTCACTTCTGGGTTTGGACGGTCCAGCAGTAACGACTGCCTGTGCTGTAATATGTAATACATCAAGCATAATGAATCTGGAATGGCTTTTGAGTCCAGGTCATTTGCCAACTTACAAGTTGTTCAAGTCAGTTCTGAAGGGGCCTTAGGCAAATAAGTGTGGGAAAGACCCAATGCTGTGAAAAATACTTTAGCTTCTGGGAAAGGACAGCTGGGAAGCCAGGGAGGAAAAAACAAAACAAAAGGCAGAACAGGCCAAGATCAGACCAAAGCAGATGCCCTTGTGCCTCATATCAAAGTCACAGTACTAACCAGGGCTTCCTAGCATTGCTGGGGACAAATCATGTGTCTGAGTTAGCACGTCGTCAGAATGGGATGGCTTGATGTTGATAAGCTGCTTTATAATTGGTTGATAAGACATGTTACTTGATTTTACAACAGACATAGAAAATAGAACAAGGGCTAAGGGAGATAGATGGCTTAGTGACTATAGTGTTTGCCACACAAATGTGAGGACCTGAATTCTAATCCCCAGAAGTTGTGTAAAGGCTAGAAGCAGTAGTGAGTATGTAATCTCAGTGTTCCTGTGGGAAGGTGGGGCCTAAGACAGGAGACTCCCCTGAAGCCTGAGAGCCAGCTAGCCTGATGGTCATAGTGGCAAAGAAGACCCTGTCTCTAACAAAGTGGAAGCTGAACACTGATCCCTCTCCACACACAGACCACGTCACTTGTGTGCCCACGCTTGTATGACGCCCTCTCCACACACAGACCACGTCACTTGTGTGCCCACGCTTGTATGACGCCCTCTCCACACACAGACCAAGTCACGTGTGTGCCCACCCTGTACATACAAACATGCTGGTATATCATATACACCTGCATTCACACATACATGCACAAAAAGACTAAAATAAAATAATTACTTTATATTTAAATGATCTCATACCTAGGGCTGGAGAGATGGTATATACTCACATAGACACACCCACATAAATAATAAAAAATGAAAATAAATCTCATAAAAAAGCCAAAACAAAACCCTCAAGTTATCTCATACCAAACAAGGGAAAATGGGTCTAATATGACTCCTTATGTTGATAGTTTGTTTATAAAGTGGCCCTGTTTTAGAAATGTTGAACCTAAATTAAGTTGAAGGAATGTGATCATTTCTAATCTGAGAAGTCTGTATGAAGGAAGCTTGTTCTTAAAGGGAACTTTGCTACTCTTTTGAACAGGCCTCACCCAACCTAGAAGAGTTTGTTACTATGGATTGTTGTGGAAACAGATTCTTACACCAGGCCCTGCTTGCTGTACTGTACAATTAGGCATCTGTGAGGGCAGCTCTGCACTGACCCCTAGTGGTGTCCTGCTGTCAACAAGGAAAAGCAGAGCTGGACAGACTTGAACCTTTCCCGCTGTTTCTGGATCTAGTTGAGACCATAAAATATAAATAAAGATAGTCATAGCCATACAATATAATTAAGGGCAAGAAGTTACAGGACTGTGACGATATGTAGTAAAAGCATTTAAGAAGGGAAGAGTTAGTTTAGTGATAAATTCTGATTTTCATCAGTATAAAAGTGAATTTTGTATCAGGGGTATCTGTGTTTCAGGGACAAAAGCTTAGAGTTTTCCTTGTTGTATTGTCTTTGAAATTTCACATGGAGATCATGAAGGGGGTTGTCAGGAATCTCAGAACAATAAAAGTTTGGGAGTGGGCCCGCAAAAGTATGACCCTTCCTATTGCCCCTGACCTTCACTACAAAAGAAGTGTCTTTCTAAGAATTCTTTGTATCAAGCTGGCTATGGTGAACCACACCTGTAGCCCCAGCACTTGGATGGCAGAGGTGGAGGATTGCTGAGGGTTTCAGACTACTTAGGTCCTAGACCAGCTGAGGCTGTGTAATAAGACCTTGCCTCAACAAAACAAACAAACAAAAGAATATTTTATGTCACAAAATGTTTACAATATAATATTCAAAGATTCAAAAATACATGTATGTTGGGCTAGAGGATAGCTCAGTGCTAGAGCATGTGCTTAGCATGTATGAGGTCCCTGAATTCAATCTCTGACATTAAAAAATGAAGCGTATGACTAGATATAATACAATTGGATTTCTGAAGTATATACTTATCAATACTATGTTTGTTAGGTCTTTTCTTTCCTTTTTTGCCCACTTTGAAACAAGGTCTCATGTAATGTAGGTTACTACATTTACTATGTGGCTGAAGCTGGCTTTGAACTCCTGATCCTCTTCCTTCTACCTCTCAAGAACTTATTTGAAGTCTGGGTTTTATTGTTGTTTATTTATGGCTAGGAAGAGATATATCAGAATTTCAGAAATGGGAATCTTAGAGTTGTGATGTTGTCATTGATCTTTTTTTTTTCTTTGTTTTATTCTGGAGTTTTATTTTATTTCAGTTAGTGAGACAGAGCCTTACTCTGTAGCCCAGCCTGGTCTTTAAGCTCACTATGTAGGCCTTGAACTCATAGCATTCTCCTGTTTCACCCTGTCTAGTACTGAGATTACTACAGGCACGAGTCATCATACCTATTATTATTACTGAGTTTTCCTTTCTATAACTTTTTTAAAAACCTTTTTTTTTGAGACTTCTTTTCATTTTATGTGTATTGGTATTTTTTTGTTTGTTTGTTTTAGCTTGGTTTTGGTTTTTCCTGACAGGGTTTCTCTGTGGCTTTGGAAGCTGTCCTGGAACTAGCTCTTGCAGCCCAGGCTGGTTTCGAACTCACAGAGATCCACCTGCCTCTGCCTCTTGAGTGCTGGGACTAAAGGCGTGCGCCACCACCGCCTGGCTTGTGTGTTGTTTTGCCAGCATGTCGAGGGTATCAGTTCCTCTTGGAACAGGAGTTAGAGGCAACTGTTAGCTCCCATGTAGGTGCTGGGGACTAAATCTAGGTCCTCTGGAAGAGCAGTCAGTGCTCTTGACTACGGAGCCATCTCTCCAGCCCCTGTGTTACTATTTTTATTGGGAAATTTTTATTTATTTTTCAGTGCCAGAGGTTTTCAACCCAGGGCCTCACACATAAGAGGCTGTACTACTGAATACATCCCTGACCCAAGGGGAAACAAATGAAACCAATAAACAAATAGGTGCTGGTGTGGCCCTGTTATTCTAACACTAGAGAGGCTAAGACACGAGAATTTGGAGTTTGAGGTTAGAAAACAAAAACAAAAGCTAAAGCCAAAAACCAAAATCCCACTAAGATTATTGCCCTACTAGGAGACAGACAACATCTGGAAGTCTGAGCTTAAGAGATTTTTTTTTTAACAAAACCAGGTCTCCTTGTATAGCCCTAGTTATGTAGAACATGTGACGCTTGAACTTCCTGTCTCTGCCTCTGTAGTGCTGATTACAGGTATGAGCCAGCACACCTTTACCTTTACACCTGAAAAATGGGGCTGCGATGCCTTACACTGTCTTGTCTTTGATTATTGTCTTAGTAATACAGTTATTCACTGCCTAGAAGCCACACTAGGGTTATGTTCAAGTGTCCTTATGAGTGGAAGTGTTTGTGAGAGGCTCTGTTCACAGCCTAACCCTGACTTGTATGTGTGTCTTAGGACTGAGCCTGAGACCTTGCTAAGCAAAGGCTATGAGACCAACAAGCTGTATCTCCAGCCCTGTTTTTACTTTTTTTTTTTTCCTCTGTGTAACAGCTCTAACTGTCTTGGAAACTGTCTTGGAACTCACTCTGTAGACCAGGCAGGCCTCAAACTCAATAGTGCTCAAGAGTGCTAGGATTAAAGGCGTGCACCACCACGCTTACAAGAAGTGCTGTGGGGCCTGTGGGGCTGTGATGTAGTTCAGATAATATCATGCACAAAGCTCCAGACACGCTCCAGCAAACTGGACATGGTGGAGCACACCTATAATTTTAGCACTTGGCATTCTTTTTGTTGTTGTTTCTTATTTTTTATTATGTATTCAGTGTTCTGTCTGCATGTATGCCTGCAGGCCACAAGAGGGCGCCAGGTCTCATCTCACGGATGATTGTGAACACCATGTGGTTGCTGGGAATTGAACTCAGGACCTTTGAATGAGCAGGCAGTGCTCTTAACCGTTGAGCCATCTCTCCAACCCAGCGCTTGGCATTCTTGTGTATAACTGCTACTCTTTTGCAAGAGTCCCTGGTGTACACAGGAATAATGAAGGCTCTGGTTCTAATCAAGTGTGGAAGTTGTACAATGCTGTTGAGTTACTATTTTTCAAGTCTGTGAGTGCATATGTGCACAATAGGCAAAGGACAACTTTCTCCACCATTCCTCTGGAACACTCTCCATCTTTGAGACTGGAACTCGGGGCTTGGAGTGGAACAGTTAGGTCAGACTGGCTGCTGCGCGATCTCCAGGGGCCCTCTTCCCAGCGCTGAGGTTATAAGGCACATGGCTCTGCCTGGCATTTTTGCATGGGTTCTGGTGATTAAACTCAGGTTCTTGCACTTGCAAGGCAAGCACTTTACTGACTGACCTTTTTCCCCAGCCCAAGTTATTTTTCTTTGAATTTTATAAACTCCATTTGAATTCCTATGGACTCCTCTGGAGATGTTCTGTGAAAAGAGAATGCTAGTTTCGACCTCATTCTGTGTTCAGGCACTCGATAGGGTAGCACCCTTAACTTTTTCCTTTCGTGTATCTTTTGCTTGTTACAAAAAGGTTTTTTTATTTATTTTAAAATTGTATTTTACTTTGTTTGTGTACAGTGTGTTTGGGTGTCCATGGAGGCCATACAAGGGTATCATATTCAGTAGAAGGAGTTACAGGCAGTTATGAGCCATGCCCAGTGTGGGTGCTGGGAACCAAACTGTAGTCCTTTACAAGAGTAGCAAATACTCTCTATCCCCCTATTTTTTTTAAGTTAGTGTATGCCTATAATCTTTTTTATTATTTTTATTTAAATTAGAAACAAGCCTGTTTTACATATGCCTACAATCTTAGCACTGGGAAGACTGAAGCAGGAGGATCTCCTGAATTTGAAGCCTGCCTGGGATAGGGAAAAATTCTGGCTCTTCCGGTCATGAACACAAACTCAGCCTCTTTATACATGAGTCTTGCGCTGTAAA